ATTATCTATGGCTCTGTGTGTGCGTGTGGGTGTCTGTGTGTCTGGTTGTTTGTTTGTTTTAGTGTGTGTGTATGTGTATGTGTATGTGTATGTGTATGTGTATGTGTATGTGTATGTGTATGTGTGTATGTGTGTGTGTGTGTGTGTGTGTGTGTGTGTGTGTGTGTGTGTGTGTGTGTGTGTGTGTGTGTGTGTGTGTGTGTGTGTGTGTGTGTGTGTGTGTGTGTTTGTGTGTGTGTGTGTGTGTATGTGTGTTTGTGTGTGTGTGTGTGCATATATTTATTTATACATTCTTATATGATTTGTTTATTTATCTATTTATTTGTTGATTTTTATGTTGCTCTTAAGAATGTTTAAGCTGTAATAAAAGTTGCATATGTAGTGAGTGTATGCAATTTTTAATCTAATTATCTTATTCTCTCCTTCTGTATGTGTGTGTGTGTGTGTGTGTGTGTGTGTGTGTGTGTGTGTGTGTGTTTGATTATTAACCCATTGCCACCAGGGAAAATGAACAAAAAATGGGGAAAATTCATATAGTATTTCCTTACCTTTACCTCCAAGCCTCATGTTATCACTATATTTTAGATATGCTGCTAATGACCTTAGATGTTGACATGGCATAAAAATTTAAATAAATAAATAAATGTTCACAGTGAAGGATAAAGGACTCTCAAAAAAATCGTAATCATAGATAAATAAGATGAAATGTAATGGAGTCTTCCCCTCTTTTAGGCTGGGCAACAGTCACAACTAATGACAACTGTTGTCAGATATTATTCTTCAGGGAGAAATTCATTAACTGAGTGACTGCTTTTTTACTTTAACCCAGTGATGATGATGGATTGTGTCTATACATGCTTGGTAAGGATCAGGAGGACATCCATATAAGCCTTGATATATGATGGTGGCTACTCTCTGTCCTGTGCATTGTGCAGGCATTGAGATTTGTGTTGTTTCTCTTGTTCGTCTTCTTTCTTTCTTTCTTTCTTTTTCAAAATTACAACCAAGGGAGAAAAATATAATTCTGCATTTCATTATCTATGGCTCTGTGTGTGCGTGTGGGTGTCTGTGTGTCTGGTTGTTTGTTTGTTTTAGTGTGTGTGTATGTGTATGTGTATGTGTATGTGTATGTGTATGTGTATGTGTATGTGTATGTGTGTATGTGTATGTGTGTGTGTGTGTGTGTGTGTGTGTGTGTGTGTGTGTGTGTGTGTGTGTGTGTGTGTGTGTGTGTGTGTGTGTGTGTGTGTGTGTGTGTGTGTGTTTGTGTGTGTGTGTGTGTGTATGTGTGTTTGTGTGTGTGTGCATATATTTATTTATACATTCTTATATGATTTGTTTATTTATCTATTTATTTGTTGATTTTTATGTTGCTCTTAAGAATGTTTAAGCTGTAATAAAAGTTGCATATGTAGTGAGTGTATGCAATTTTTAATCTAATTATCTTATTCTCTCCTTCATATTTTCCTACATTACTCTTCATACTTTCTTTCTGTCTCATCCTTTGTTTTTTTCCTTCCTTCCTTTTTTCCCATAATTCTTTACTTCCTTCCATCTTCCTTTCTTTCCTTTTTTTTCCGTTCTTTTCCTGTAACTCATTTGTAGGTTTTACAGGGGAAATGTCCGCTACCTTGTTTTGATGACGTATATCTCTTGCAGGTGATTTTGAGAGCAGGGGAACTTGCATCACAGCCAGGTGTTGTTGAACAAGCCAGTCAGCATGTGAGGAACGCAACGTGCCATTGTGTACAAGGTAAGGGAATGCACTTAGTTTTAACTTTGAAAAAGAGAAATCAGGTCTGATTTGATGATGTGATATATGTGTATGTGCGTGCGTGCCTGCGTGTGTGCGTGTGTGTGTGTGTGTGTTTGTTTTACACAAGAAATATCCATGTTGAGTAGATTTGTTTAATTATCTTATCTTTTTTACAACTAATGTTGAAAGTGAAGAGGTCTACTGTAAAGTGCATGAAACTTGATGCTGATTTAATTTTGTGGATGTGTTTGTAGACTTTGTAATGATATTCCTGATATTGATTGGTTTTCATTCTAATTAATACTGTATATATGGTAATGCTACTTCAGAGTCCTAAAAAAGAAAAATATTCTGGTTACTGATATTTTGTAGATATGTAATTCATTGTGATATACATTTAATTCAAACATCCAAAATTGATCTTCTATACTCTGTCTTCTAAAGTTCTCACAATACTGCAGGTCATGGCAAGCAATAATGGGAGTGGGGGCCCCGGGGACAGCGCCCAGGGCCAAAACCCTTTCAAGCGGATGACGTCTCCCCCGGCATCAGTGAGCTTGGTCTTCTCCTCGGGGGGAGAGTACCTCCAGATGGCTGGCAGCCAGGCACCAAGTCATTCGAACTACATGCTGCTTGGGGGGATGACAAGCACGTCCCCCACAGCCTCCCCAAGCTCAGCGTCAAGGTGCAACTTCTTCGGCACGACCTCGACTTCCCCGTCATCATCAGTTGCGGGCCTCCCCAGCAGCACTCTGTTTGGGGGGATGACATCTCTCGGGGACCCCAGGCACATAGGGTCTGGGAGGCCTATCATGTCAAGTGTAATGAGCAGCACCACACAGTCAGTGTCTAGTACTATGAGTAAACCTCTCTCTGATGCAAAGGGGATCTCGCCTTCCTTAACAGCTCCAGGGATCCCGTCAGGAAATATCTTTGGTGGGCTGACATCTTCAGCAGCTTCAGGGCAGACACCTCCACTCTTCTCCGCAAGCAATCCATCAGACGGAGAGATGTTTGGAAACAAAAAAAAGCCTTTTTCAATGCTGTCAGCCAAGACTACATCAAGAGAAACAGCCACAATAGCAACTTCACCCAATGCTTTTCCTTCCCCTTTCTTAGGGACAGGGGAAGTGAAGCCACCCAGTTTATTTTCTACTGTTAAACAGTAGTCAGAGCCATCCATCTGCAGCCAGAAATGTTTTTGGTGCCCCAACAGCATCAAAACTCTTTGAAGTGAAGAAGAATACTTCTTTACCAAATGAAACAGAAAGAGCCAGCCAAGGAAATGAATCAGTGGCTTTTAGGCCTTCAGTCACTCCACAAACAACAGCTACAGCAAATATCTTTGGTGGGCTGACATCTTCAGCAGCTTCAGGGCAGACACCTCCACTCTTCTCCGCAAGCAATCCATCAGACGGAGAGATGTTTGGAAACAAAAAAAAGCCTTTTTCAATGCTGTCAGCCAAGACTACATCAAGAGAAACAGCCACAATAGCAACTTCACCCAATGCTTTTCCTTCCCCTTTCTTAGGGACAGGGGAAGTGAAGCCACCCAGTTTATTTTCTACTGTTAAAACTGAATCTCTTATTAATAATGATTTCTCCAAAGATTCCAAACCAGCTCCCACTGCTCTGCTATCTAGAGGAATAACCAGTACCAGTCAGAGGTTGGAAACAAAAAAAAGCCTTTTTCAATGCTGTCAGCCAAGACTACATCAAGAGAAACAGCCACAATAGCAACTTCACCCAATGCTTTTCCTTCCCCTTTCTTAGGGACAGGGGAAGTGAAGCCACCCAGTTTATTTTCTACTGTTAAAACTGAATCTCTTATTAATAATGATTTCTCCAAAGATTCCAAACCAGCTCCCACTGCTCTGCTGTCTAGAGGAATAACCAGTACCAGTCAGAGCCATCCATCTGCAGCCAGAAATGTTTTTGGTGCCCCAACAGCATCAAAACTCTTTGAAGTGAAGAAGAATACTTCTTTACCAAATGAAACAGAAAGAGCCAGCCAAGGAAATGAATCAGTGGCTTTTAGGCCTTCAGTCACTCCACAAACAACAGCTACAGCAAATATCTTTGGTGGATCTGCATTAAGTAAGACATCAGAGTCTGCCACCACATCAAGTTCCAGTAGTATATTTGGCGGCGGCACTACAGACGCACCACAGACTGTAAAGTTATTTAGCAACAGTGTAGCAAGTGTGCGTACTAGTAACAGAGCTTCAAGCAAGAGTAATGATCAGTCTGCCAGCACAACCATGTCAGTGTCTACTTCTAACATCTTTGGTGGATCTTTGAAAAGCAAGGCATTCACTTCAACTTCTGCGACACAGCCAGTCTTTAGCAGTCAGTCTGAAAAACGGGATGAATCTGGTGGATCTAGTGCAGCATTGGATTTTGGTAAACAGACATCCAGTTTGGAAAAAAGAAGTCATATTGGTAAAGCAACTGAGTTAGGAAAGATATTTGAACTGTCTGAAGATAAAATGGCACCAAAAGCTGATTTCGAAATCCCGGAGTCACCAACTATGTCTAAAAAATCTGAGTTATCGACTTCACCACAGTACGACAAAAAGGAACTCACCAAGATCATTATAGCACAGATTCCTGATAGCTGCATGGATAGAGAGATACTAAAGAACCATTTTATAAAGTTTGGGTATATCAAAAGGGTCACTGTGAACAACAAAACCAATCAGGCGACAGTGCAGTATGAAGACCACCGTTCGGCCTCAAGAGCCAAGAAAAAGGGAAAGAAAATACATCCCAACTTGCCAGAGGTGAGGATATTCTACGGCACGCCAGCACGACGCAAGAGTGAGGATGGCAATGCTGATGCCATTATGTCTAAGAAGAAGGCCATCAGAACGCTGCAGTCGGCTCACACCTCGAGTGACATTGACCCTTATGAGCCCCTCCCACGCCCCTCAGGGAAGGAGCCAGTGGAGCTGCCCAAGCCTATCCAAGCCAGGGTGAGCCAGCCCAAGCCTACCCTTGCTAGAGTAAGCCAGCCCAAACAGAGGGAGAAGGCACCAGTAAAGCCCAAGAAAGTACCACAGAAGCAAGGAGCTGGAGCAAAGGAGAAGAAAGAGCCCTCCGTCGCAGTGGAGGGAAAGGAGCCGGAGGAAGTGATCCAGTCAAAATGCAATACCAGTTACGATAAATACTTGGTTCTGAAAACAAGAGATCACCTCGTACGGAAGGAAACCATCAGAACCTCGGACATTGAGAAGGCAACGTACCTCTCAGCCACCTGTCCCGACATGTGCCCAGAGAAGGAAAGGTACATGAGGGATGTCCAAAATGACCTCAGTTCTTACGAGATGGCAAATGGGGTTATGGACCACCGCCTTGTCGTCAAGAAGTTTTCCCGGAGTAGCGCAGATAAGGATGAACCGCTGCCTTATGAACTCAGGCCTGGACCTGTTCTCTTGAAGACTATGGACTTCTTAGTATGTAACATCATAGAGCGCGGGGAAGATGAAAATGTTGAGACAGATGTTTGGTACAATTATTTGTGGAATAGAACCAGGGCTATTCGCAATGACTTGATGCAGCAGCAGCTAACAGATGGCAGAGCAGTTGCTATTATTGAAAGGTGCATGAGATTCCACATTCATGCCGCTGCCCGTTTCTGCCAGGAGCCCCCTGATCTCTTTGATGCCAAGATGAACACAGAGCATCTCACCAAGAGCTTGCAGACTCTTAAGGAGCTCTACAAGGACCTGGGAGAAAGGGGGGAATATTTTGAAACAGAACCCGAGTTTCGTGCTTATGAGTTGCTGTTAAATTTGAATGAAGGACAGACTTTCATTACACAGTATTCGCAATATAGAGAAGAAGTACAAAAGTCCAAGGAAGTCCAGTTTGCTTTGAAAGTAGGAATGGCTCTAATGTTCAACAATTATGTAAAATTCTTCAAGCTGTTGAAAAGCGCCACATACCTACAGGCATGTATGATGCATAGGTATTTTAGGCAGGTACGTGCAAAAGCTTTGGACACACTTATGAAAGCTTATGTACCTCCAAAACAAGTGCAAACTCTTCCCTTAGAAACTGTGATACCAACCCTCGGATTCGAGAATGAGGCAGATGCTGAAAGCTACCTGCAGGTGTATGGAATCAAGGTAACTGATAAGAATGTGATTTTGGATAAGAGCTTGTTTTCGTTACATGTTGAGGAGCAACCACCTGTAGTGCGGCCATTTAAAATGGTGGAAAGCAACAGAACTGTCTCAGTGGGTCAAGTTATTCAGGGTGGTCCCCTACCTGAAAATCCACTGTTGACTCATGTTCCTCATGATAGCTTTGACAGTCAAGGATACTTGAAGAAAGAAGCACTCAATGCTTCAGACCAACAAGTAGGAAAGAAAGTAGCAACAGTAGAGATCAGAGAACATCCAGTTCAACAGACTCAGCAGTGGACCAGTTCAGAGTTAATGGCATGCATAAGTGATATTTATATCAACACCTCATCAAATGTCATAAAGGAAATGCTTCTTGAGATATCAAAGGAAGCAAAAGAAGAATATCAACATGAATCCGTCAACAAAGTTGCTCAAATAGCTGGAAAAGAAGTTTTAGCCGAGTGTCTGAAGGAAGAAATCAGTCTTGTAAGTGAGAGAGCATTACAAGAAGTTCAGTACGAAGAGGAGGAGAGGCAGAGAATACTTCAGGAAGAGGAAGAAAGGAAGCGTAAAGCCATGCAGGAACTCCTTGACAAGATGTCCAAGGTCTTATGTGCTGAGTATGTAGAGGAGTTTGTTAAAGAATTTGTGAGAAATTTGAGCACAAAAGCTGTACAAGAAATAGAGAAGGAAACATGGGAGGCAGTAATTGCAGAGCTCATTTTTGAACTGCCACAGACACTGTGCAGAGAAGTGACGCTGACTGAAGTGAAGAAACTTTGTGCAGAGGTTATTACTGCAATGAAGGATGAACTTGAGGCCAAAATTACTCAGTTACAACAGAAAATTTCCATGCGAAAGATGCGTGACTCTTTCAAGAGGTGGAGGTTACAGGTTTTGAGAGTCAAGAGGCGAAAGCAAGCCCAGGAGACCTTCCCAGCTAGTTGTTCGCAGTTGTCTATAACGCAGCAAAATGAGCTGTTTGGATGGGGCTATCACAGGAGCAGGGAAGAGAACATCTCTGCCTTCCAGGTGTCTCACATAGAAACCACAGTAGCGAAGAACATAGAGCAGATGACTATTAGGAATCGCCTAGTTAGAGCGTGTGCCTGGCATCACCTACCTCTGCAGCAAGAAATGAAAAAGGTGGTTGATGGAACCTTACAGCCCATCAATTTGATAAAGCAGTACTTTAAGGTTTTAATTTGTACACTAGAGAACACAAATCCAACCATTGTTCAGTGGCTGAGATCTAAGTTAAGAGTAGGAGAGGACAGCAGTATTCAAGAGTGTGTGAACAGTTCTTTTAGTTTTATTTCGAAGAACAGTGGTCTAGAGTATGCATGCTTGTTTAGGGAAATCTCTCTTGACAGTTTGTGCTCTGCTGACATAAGAGGAACCTCAGCTGTGATATTTTTGCTGCCATCGCAAGCAAGAAAGCAGAATGTAAATAGCCAAGCCCTTAACATATTGAAGAGTATGTCTGATGTGCCAAAGTTAACAATACACTTTGATGAAGAATCTTGTGCTGATAATACAGAAGGCATTTTAGATTCTCCGGTTTGGAAGTTGGCAGAGTGTGATCTGTACTATCCAGAAACTTCTCAGAAATTGCTTTCTCACCTGCTTGATCTTTGGAATCAGCAAGATGGACGATTACAGCTGGTATCTGTCCACCTGAATAATTTTGTGTATGGTTTTATAGCTAAGAAAGTTGTGGAGGTATTTCTGTACAAAAACCATGAAAGAATAGAAGATGGGAAATCACCCCTTCCACCCCAAGCTTATATTGACCTGTATAATGAAGCTATGAATCACCTTTTACATGTTGTTGAGGATGAAGAACTGTTGAAACTTGATTGGCCTGCTCCTGGTTTGAGTCACCTAAAGCAAGTACCACCAGCGTCATGGAATAACTCAGATGCTGATAGGTCAATAGCCATACTCAGAAACCTAAAACTTCCCAAGTTAGAGTTGGAGGATTATATGACTGTTGGTGCCATAAAAGACTCGCTGCACAGGTATGCAACCAAAGTCTG